TGATAGCAACTTCTATTTTCCCCAGATCTCGGTTAGATGCTTGACCTGGATATCTCGACATCTGTTATGTGTCAGCCGAGCGTGTGTGTGCTCGCTTATAACCTGTTTTCGTATTATTTTTTTTTCTTTTTCTTCTTCGTTTTCTCTTTCCTTCTTCCAGATCGCTTGAACGTAAAGAAAGAATTATTCCTAAAACCCGAAATATTTTTCAGCCCTAAATAATTATCAAATGGTTGACAAACCGTAAAAAACAAATCATATATTTATGAATATTTCTTTTCAGCTCGCTAGGTATGCATGGTGCCACAGAACGAGTGTCACTTTATCCTGAAAGTTTTCATTTATTTATTTCATTTCTTCTCTCTCCCTACTTGTATAGCTTGGGTGATTTCTTTTGTAGACTTTACTGCTGATCATAAAAACACCAATTGCTTCAGGTTCAAATAATATCATTTACAATCCACATTACTTTGTGAATTTCCTGACCAAAACCAATAGGTATGGAGTCTTTTTTAAACATTTCATCTCAATCAGGGCAATAAAGCCAATAAGACATAAGGGGGTACTGGCTGTGAAAGAATAGGAGAAAAAGAAAACATTATTAAGGAGAGAGAACAATAAAAGAATACGGAAGATGACGATTGAAATTGCATTTAAACTTTTGAAGATCAATTTTAACTGAAAATCTAGAAGCCGAAAGAGAGTTTCAAAAGTGAAAAGTGCGATAGACGAAACTGCATGTAAAGAAATTATGGTTTCATCCAGCTATTTTAACTGTAAAATGATGTGACCTAACTGTCAATCTAGTATTGCGCTTAAATTTGTAAAGTCAGGGTACCAAAGAGGAAATCTAATCTGAACAATAAATAATTAATTGTAAAACAGGAAGAAAGGGATTGTTACTAGTCAGGAATTAATAGAAGTATTACAAAAAGAATATAATTATTGTATGTATAATAATAATTATTTTACTGTAGAAATACAATTGATAATTATTTGTTCGCAAGACTTAATCTCCCGTGTCATTCAAGTCCAGCAGAATCGAGTCTGGTCTGTACTGAGCTGGGAAACCGCTTGTTAAACACCGTTTACTGTAAGTAACCAACTACAATTCGAAATATTTTTCGGTTTTAAATAAACCACAAGCGGTTGATGAGCTGTAGAAGACAAATCAATCAACCTCCGTATCATATGCACGAGTACAATTAAGCTGGATGCCTGCACAAACGCAGTAAGCTGATTCAAATTGTAAATGTTGTTCAAGAACTTTTACACCTAAGAGATGTTAACCCATGAGGACTTCATATTGCTATATTAGCTATGTATGCAACATTTGGATAATCCTATTTCAGTTAATTGAAAAGTTCAACTCATTCACCACATTCCTAGTCTCTGTTATGGACTTAGATCAAAGTATATCATTTTATTTTAGTTAAATGTATTAAAAATGTCACCTGGTCTCGACATTAATTTTATAGACTTAGATCAACTTATAGCATTTCTTTTTAGTAAAATGTATTACAAATGTCAACCTCGTCTCAATATAAATTTTATAGACTTAGATCAAGTCTTAACTTTCATTTTAGTTAAATGTATTACAAATGTCACCCTCGTCTCAATATAAATTTTATAGACTTAGATCAAGTCTTAACTTTCATTTTAGTTGAATGTATTAAAAAGGTTTCTGCATTTGTGGCGGATGTCGGTTAAAATTCTAATTTCGCAAATCCAACAAATAAAGGAGTTCCAGTTTGTTTACTCACTGGAACCTCTGAAAAGCGGTTTTAACCCTTACATTTTTAAGTTAATCCAACTAATATGTATGCACATTATTTACATTATTCGGACTATTGTCCTCATCTTTGTCGCCATATTTATCACAACGTTTCGGCCGTTGTACGCTCCGGCCTTCTTCAGGTGGTTGGAATGTCGAACTGAACCCTTCAAAGGTACATGGCACATTGGATAAAGGCGCTGGTTAGATCCAGTGGCAGGACCCAAAGAGTGTGAGTTCAATACCCGGTTAAGGCAGTGGAGAACTTTCAGAGGGAAATTAGCAGGAGAAAACTGATAATTGACATCCATCAAACATGGCATGTGGAACTAGAACAATCTACACCAGTGAGCGAAATAAAGGGTTCAGTTCGAAATTCCAACCACCTGAAGAAGGCCGGAGCGTACAACGGCCGAAACGTTGTGATAAATATGGCGACAAAGATGAAGACAATAGTCTGAATAATGTAAATAATGTACATAATACCTCATCTCAGAAATATAGACAGACTCTAATCTGTATGCATTTGTAATTTCGCCTACCCAGAAAAAGAAAGGTTAACCACCAATACTTTATTGGCTGATGTTAGATCTCCTCACATGATTCACGTTTATGATTACCTGATCTTAAAGTCCTTCAATTGTCTTTGTTGAATTCTCATTATTTGTCGGTAGAATCACATCACTTTGACTTCAAATCTCTTTTTGTCAGGAGATTACCCAGTTTTGGTTGTCACATGGTGTTACGTGATGATAATTGTAACTAAGGAAAAAATGATTTACCACAACACAGAGCTAAATCACAAACAAATATTTAATTTACTAAAACACAACATAAAATATGTAAACAATTGTGGCCTACAAAACAGAAAACACAGACTTACTGGCGAAGTGTTACGAGGAAGAAGGAAAGGGAATCAAATATCTTTATCACTTTAGGGCTAGTGAAGTAATTTAAGTGCTATATTTGGAAATCCACAAAGGTGTGTAAATAAATATTAATTTTTTGTTTGGTCAATGAAAATTAGTCAAAATTCTATTTACCAAATTTATTCCATGAAATTCTCTTTTGGGTTTTGGTTGGTCGGCAACTTTTTTAATAGAGATTCTTTCGGCTGGATATAATAATCCTTGCATCAAAAAGCCGGAGTTGATACAGGCAACAATTTCCTTTCACCAACTGACAACCCTTTTCCAAAATCCCATTTTTATAGGGGCTAACACATAATTTGCATACTTCTAGATGTTTCTCGAATATACTAGAATGATCTAGAATCTTCCAAACATTCTATTTCTAATTTCTCTATTTTACAACTACTTCATGAATGAAAACTTTTTTGTAATAACAAGTAGAACTCAGTGGAATCCTTTATTATAGAAATGCATCTCGTAAAACATGGGTAGATAAATACTAAATGATAATTCACCTCTCTTTTCTTTGATTGTAAGCATATTTTCCCGTCTCTTTATACTTTGTTTAATTTCTGAAAGCACTTCCGCTATTCCAATGCATCTTCGGGTTTATTTAATAGGCTCAAATCTTCACTGAGTGTTCCGATAATTTGGTTCCGCAGTAGCACAAATCTTTTTCATCTGCATGCCGTGTCCATTCAGAACGTGGTCGGTCATGTCTCTCCACGATTTCTTAACTTCCTCATTATTTACATGCTCAGTCCATGGTATTCTCAGCATCATTCTGTGGGATAACATTTCTTTTGTTTCAAGTTTCTTCGTCTCGTAGAAGATTGACCAACATCCATTCTTATAAAAGAAGATCGATAACAGTTTAGCATTGTATTTATTGTTTCTAACGAGATTTTTCCATTTCTTAATACTTTGCTTAGCTTTTGGAAAGTATCATCCGCTATGCCAATGTGCATCATATTTTCCATCTTCTGTTAAAACATTTCTCTTATAGGAAAGTTGGCTCTCTGTGCCGCGCCAGGAAATTTTTCTCCTCGGAATCGATACTTCAAATCTACAAATCAACCATTCGCCCTTGCATGGAGTATTGCTGCCATATATGGTCTGGGGCACCTTCTGTTTACCTCGAAGTTCTTGACAAGATCCAGAGACGAATATGTAATATAACTGGCCCTGATCTGGCATCTCGTCTACAGTCACTCTCTCACAGACGCGCCGTCGCCTCTTTCTGTCTTTTTTACAAATACTTTCATGGTAATTGCTCCGATGAGATGCTTTCACCGGTTCCTAGACTTCATGAATTCAAGCGCCCTACGTGGCTGGCATCCCGCTCCCACCCTTACACTGTATAAACTTTTAAATGTAGCCGTCTCTTCTACTCCAATAGCTTCATACCTCGCACCTCTCGCCTGTGGAATGCCCTTCCCAATTACTGTTTCCCTGAGAGCTATAATCTCCAACTATTCAAATGTAATGTCAATCGACATCTCCAGTTACCTTGATCTATCCACTATCCCTCTCCTCATCCTTTCTTCTATCACTCCTATCTGCTCTTGCTCCAAATCTTCTGCAACCCCCTGCATCCTAGTGGCTTCACGCCTTGCTCGGGGCGTAATGCTTAAAAAAAATATTAAATTTTCGCACTTGCTTGATTTCAGTGTCTCTGTAGTTCGCTGTTCAACCATACAATCTTACAATTGATAGTTAGTCCTTTTTTCTCCCTTTCTTTTACTGTCGTTAAGATTATGTTCATCAATAATAAATCCTAGTAGAATTTTTAGTACTCTCAGGAACGGCCTTCTGTAAAGGTTAAATAAGTCCGGTGAGAAAACACATCATTGTCTTACGCCTTTTTCTATTAAGTTTATTAAGCAATTGGTTTCTGTTTAGTGCGTAATGTATTTGCCACTAACATCGGCGGTCAGTGTTCAAGCCTGAGTAAAAACCCATATTTCGAATGCTGATTCTCAAGGCAAGCCTACTCCTATTGTGCAGCTCAATCTTTTATTACTTTCCATATTTAGATTTGATCATTATTAAGCGAAGATTATTAAATGCTCTACGCCATTATTCTTGAGTTAACACTGTCTACTTCTCTTCTTTATGGTGGAGATCTTATTGAAAATATCGTCTGTACAAAACATGCAAATGAAGTAACATTTTTTTCTTGCGTGTACCAGATTGCAATATAAATTTCGTAGCAGTAACAAGAAACACCTGTGCAGAAAAAAAGGCACTGATAGTAATTTACTTACTTACTTAAGGGGTGACTTTGTTTATAATTTGTCACTCCCTTTCATCAGCGGTTTGTCATTTTTCCTTCATTATTTACTCGTGTTCTTTCTTTTTCTTTACTTTCTTTCGTTCTTAACTCCTCTTTTAACTCATTAAATTTCTTTCTCTCTTTCTTTTTCCCACTTTCTTTTTCTTTCTTTGTCTTTTTCTACTTCTTTCTTTCTTTCTTTCTTTCTTTCTATATCTTTTTCTATTTCTTTCTTTATTCTCTTTCTTTCTTTTGTCTTTTTTCTTTCTTTGTTGTTTTATATTCCTTTCTTTACTATTTTCTTTCTTTCTTTGTCTTTTTCTATTTCTTTACTCTTCTTTGTCTTTTCATATTTCTTTCTTTCTTTCTTTCCCCTTAATTTTCTCTCTCCCTCAACTTAGCTTTTATCTTTTTTCGGCCCACCTCGGCCCACGCATCTCCTCGCCACCTTTCTATTCCTGTCCAACAGGTTTATCCGCCATCATGTGGCTTAGTTGAGATATATTTACATCACCCAACAGTTGTTCTGGAGTTCAACTCCACTCTCCCTTTAACAATAAATCCATTTATCAGCTGCTCTCTCTCTCTCCCCCTCTCTCTCTCTTTTATCTACTCTTTCTTTACATTTCTCTTTATTTTATTGTATTTCTTTTTGTTCAATCTCCTCACTATATTTGTGCAGAAAGTAAAATCCTTCTTTCCCATTGCCCTCCCCATCTCTGTTCTTTCAACTACGGACAGATTTTGGGTGTCGGCACTCAGTATACGATGATCAATCAGGAAACAGGGCACACATTTTCCTGATAACTAAGTGAACAATACTCAGTAACCACTTCGAACACATAATTTCAAATACCTAAGGATCCGTAATTGAAAGGTAAGTGACGGCTCAAAAGTGCCATCATTTTTTTCCATGTTAAAAAATGCAAGTTTTTACATGTAACAAAGAATAGACCTGGAGACATCTGTATTATCGATGTGGCGGATTTTAGGACTGAATAGACGAAACATTGAGGCTACAGACAGTAGCTTTTTTTTTTCTGGGGTTTTAATTAGCCTTTCCAAAAGCTGTGTAAAGCCATTTTAATTTTTTGTTATATTCATTGAAAGATGAACGTTGTTTAAGAATAAAAAAAGAAAAAAATAGTTCACGGATAGTGTTTATAATTAAAAGAGTTTACGTTGTCAACAAGAAGAAGTCTTTATCAAAATGTAAACCACTTTATTATATTGTTTTTAATTCTATCTCTTTACTCGGTTAAATCAACCCTAACGTTAACAATAATCGGGCCCCAATGAATATTGAAGTCATTATCAATATCCTGTAAGACTTTATGAGAAGAGATTATTTTCGATTGGCTTTTCTCCGTTTAACGAAGTTTCATTAGATGCTTTTAAGCGATTTTTTCAAACAATATTAAGTATTTAAATGATTCTTAATAATTGTACTCATCAAGTTCCTGGGATCTTGATTTGGCCTTCTGATCATTTACACTTCCCTTATCAACAATTGTGGCATGTCAATGACAAGGCTTTTCTTTTTAAATTAAAATATTTGTCGGCGGGATAGGGCGCAGAAATGTAGATTCATGCCTTTTCCCATGGGTAATATTAGTGAATACAAGCTGCTTCATCCGAAATTCGAACTCTGTTTACCGATTCCGTTTTCAGTGACGATAACTGTTACACTGGTTTGTACACATTATATTTTAGCCCCCATTACTAGCACACACAAACACACACACACACACACACACACACACACACACACACAGAGAGAGAGAGAGAGGCACACATGCATACACACATACACACAGAGGCACAGGCGCACACGTACAGACAGAGAGAGAGAGAGAGAGAGAGAGAGGGGGTGGCACATGCGCGCGCACACACATACACAAACACATATATATATATATATGAATAAAAGGAAAACTTATCTTAGCCGACGAGTTTCGTCCTCTGATGGACTTTATCAAAGCAAATGTAAGGATTTTATTTTGCAATAAGTATTTATAAACAGAATTAAAAATGTTAGTTTTTCAATTTTTTTAAAAAATTTACGTGACGCTCATAAATATTCATCAGGGCAAAAGTCTTGCTAAATTATGGAAGATGCTAAGCGACATAATTTAATGTCTAATAAATGAAAGTCAGTAAATGATATTGTTGAATATTTTTATGTAATTAATCTTTAAATGATTTCAATATACAATAAATTCATGTATTATAAATTTTTTTTAAATAACATGCGGTTATGAATGTAACCGTTTTCTTTTAATTTTTAACATTTTTATAATCATGTATATTGGCTTGGGAAACGAGTAATTCTTTCAGGAATGGAGACATTTGAAAAAAAAAAAAAACCCAAAAACACCGCAACGCAGATTTATATTTTGATAAGATTCGAAATGATGACAGCAATTAAAACAACACTAAAAATATTGTTTTGTGATTGGAATAGAGAAATCACCGACCGTAAAAATATTTACCAGCGGATGAATCAACGTTTTAAGCAGAAAGTTTTTCCTCTTACGCTTCAGAGGTGATTTACACATTCTGAACTTCACAGTTGGATGGAAATGTTGCTATCATTTTTTGGGGGGAGGGGGGAGTAGTGGGTGAATTTAAACAGTTTCTTTCGACTTCTTTCGACTTCTTGCTTCCCACTCAAATTTCATCTTCAAAAATTTCAATGCAGTTTCAATCGTTACCTTCTGACTTCTTAATTGTTGTTCTTTTATTGTTCTCTCTCCTTAATGGTAGTTTTTCTCATATTCTCTAACACTTAGTAACCTCCTTGCGTCTTAGTGGCTTTATTGCTTTGCATGGGGTGAAATGATTAAAAAGAAAAAAAAGAAAAAATAGAAAACTAAATCTGAATTAATGCCACAGAATATGAAATGCTGATGTTTCGGGCTTACGGGCCCACCACGTTGAAACACCTGTTCTTGTGTGATCATAGAAGTTAAGCAACATCAAACCTGATCAGTCCCTAAATGAGTGACCGCTTTGGAATAACGTGGGTTGTATGCACTCTAATTTGGCTTATGGCCATATAACGTTGAAACACAGGTTCTTGTGCGATCACCGAAGTTAAGCAACGTCCAGCCTGGTCAGTCCCTAGATGAGTGACGCTTAGGTATACCGGGGGCTGTAAGATTGGATTTACGGGTGGTGTAATGGATAATTGCTCAGAATTGTTAATCGGTGAGCTAATTTCTATTTTTTTTATATTCACTTACGCATAATTACCCTTAGGAAAGGTATGAATCTCCCCACTCCAATTAGTAAGATTTCTGTCACAACCATTATTATCTCCAAAAATAAAAATTGCGTACAAAATATTTGGATTTCATCATTAAATAACCCATGGAGGTGTTGGTATGCCGCTAAACAAAAACAACCAACCAACTAAAGCCGAAATTTTGTTGTTCTCAGTAATATGTATTGTAATTTCTCCTTTTCATTTAAAATCAAATAAATACACCCTTGTTAATCTCTATTAACATCTTCCTAATTTTTGATGGGTCACTTTGAAATTTTAATCAGCATCTGGAGGTGAAGGGTTCGGTCACAATGGTAAACACTTTATTGCAGGCTTGTTCTAAACTTACTAATTAAATCAAGTAAGACATAGTTATTTGAAAGTGTTATTAATGAGCATTATGGGATTTTACAAGTATACGAATGGATAAACTGCAGCCTATATCATGTGCCAAAAACATACCCGAAACACCCACTTTTAATGTTGGTATGAAAATATCAGGTAGTGGTGGTGTGGTGGGGGATTTAGTCATTGCTTACCGGATGAGCAATGACACCCCTAATATGTTTAATTCTTGCCGATTAAATCTAGATAATCGTTCTAAGGCAGGTATACAGATATACATTAATTTGCATGAGAATGGTATATATATATATATATATATATATATATATATATATATATATATATATATATATGATGAAATGGATTAAGTCCGACAATTATTTTATATATTTTATGTTTATAAAGATAACATATAAACAGAAAATATATTAAATAAATGTCGGACTTAATCCATTGTCATGTTTCGTTTGCAGATATGATCGATCGAGAAAAAGTCGTCGAAGATTGTGTGTTTATAAACAGTAATTTGGACTTTGCTAAGCAGACGCTTCTCTGTATCTGAATGGTAAAGCACGTCAGATCAAATCCCGTTACACATTTTATGTAGGAGTGGACGATGTCGTTATTACATTTTTGTAATAATAATAAATATTGTTATTGCTTTAACTTTCGTCTAAGCCTTTTCTTTAAACTGACTATAACGGTAGTAACCCCGACATATAATACATTCCAACATATGTTAGTCAGCAAAAGAAAAAGACAAAGATGCGAGCTACCAACTGGAAATGTGCAAAATCAAAAAAGTACGGAAATTTAACTGTCTCGGAAGGGTTTTAGCAGATGGCGGAAAATGTGACACCGTAATACGAAGTTGCATTGAAATAACGAAAAATGCATCAAGTAAAAGTATTATGAAACAAGATGTTTTTTCATTCGAAACAAAGAATGCTCAACAACTATGTAATGTCAATGCTCATCTATGCCAGTGAGTGCTGGGCAATCTTCTCACAGATGAAGAGAAAACTTGAACCAAGTGAGATGTGGTTTTACAGAAAGATGCTGAAAGTACAGTGGACGGAGTGTGCAAGCAACAAGGGAAAATAGAAACAAATAAAAACATAATTATATTTAAAATCAGAAATTTACAGTTGTTATTTCTGTAAGACATTATGAGGAGAGAAGCCTTGGGAGTTTTTACTCCTACAGAATATATAAAAAGGACGAAGATGAACAACTCGTGACATGCTTAACGATCTTATAAATGGTAATAGTAATCGTAGCCGTTTCCTTATAAGGAAACATTCAACATTCATTGACCGAGCATCCAGTGCAATCGTCGGTTGAAATTTATAAAGTCTTTGTATTAAAATGATTTGTTTCCAGGAATATATGTTTCTCAAGTTCGGTAACTGTTATCGCTTTTTCCAGTATCAATAGAGGCTTCCTTCCTAACATTTTGTTTGAAGTCGTGTGAAACGTTAAAATTTTGATTATGTTATTATTGAATGGATAACAGAAAAGAGTAGGGGAGAGAGAGTGAGGGATAGAGTGTGTGAGAGAGAGTGAAAGAGAGAGTGAGAGAGAGTGTGTGAGAGAGAGTGAGAGTGAGAGAGAGTGTGTGAGAGAGAGGGAGTGAGATAGTGAGAGAGACAAATAGAGAGTGAGAATCAGGGAGAGAGAGAGTGAGAGAGAGTAAAAAAAATAAACATTGCTAAGAGCTACAGAAGGAAGTTGTGAAGAGCCATGATTACCCACGTCATGAAGGT